CCCCCAACAGTAAACGTTTGGAGGCATCTGATTCGCTGTCATTTGGTAATGAGGTTTTCAAAGTGACCTTTCAGTCCAAAGGTTCCTACCCTCTGTTCGGATGTCAGTATCACTTTAACCTCGAGGAAGTCGTCAACGTTCCAGAGTTCCTCGTCTACTTTCCTCTCTTTGAACAGTAAGAGTACTCACAGTAACATCTGCTTGTGTACTCTGAATTTCCTATAAAAATATTTCATGATACTCTGTTTCCACTTCTTATGTCCCAGCATGGCGAAGCAGTACAATATGCAGCTGGTGCTGAAACAAAGATTTGCGGATTTCTTTGAGGAGAAGGTGAAGAAGGAGAATCATCGCAGCCTCATGATGAAGATGATGGCTCTGGAGGTAGAATATTAATTAAAACTGAAATACTGACTATGATTTCTCAGTTCATTTTTCTTATTTTTACAATAATGATGTGACCAGAAGACAAACTAGATATGGAGTTAACAACATTTAAGCATGTTATTTTTGGACACAGATCCAAATGGTGACAAATTAAAGGAAAGGACCCACTTATCCTTTCAGTGAGGCATTTCACCTTCTCAAGCCTTAAGAATAGCTTCACTCCTCTGCACACAGTGGATGAACTGGGTTTTTTCTTTTTTGTTTGCTTTGTTAAAAAAAAGTTCACTGTGCTTTACTGTTTTGCTAGATGTGTGGCGATATTTTGCTCCAATAAATCCACATAAACATTAGTGTGGTCCTGTGTCTTGTGGATAAATAGAACAATTCATCTCATAGTAGTGTTTGATCAGAGGATAAAGAAAACGCATCAGAACCAGCAGAGTCTGTCACTGTAGCTCAGAGGTCCAGGTTTTTCTTTTAACCTGTCACTACTTACTGTCTTTTTAAGAGTTTGTTTTGCTTTCAGCCATTTCCCAGTGAGGATGGTCTTCAAGCCTCAGACAGTGCAGAGGAATACTGTCATGCTAAAGAGCACTGTGACCGAGCCGACGTCAGAACTCCCCTGGTAAGCGTGCTCAGATGGTAAATGTTAAATGGACCGGTTTTTATAGCACTTTTCTACTCTACTTGAGCACTCAAGTGCTTTATGCCACATGTCTCATTCACACATTCACACACATGCATTCAAGCACTTTTTAACATTAACACATGGATGCATCAGGAGCAGCTTCGGTTTCAGTATCTCGCCCAAGTGTATATATAGCATGCGATTGAACAACCAACCTCTCCATTAGTAGATGAGCGACCACGTCTACCCCCACAGCTCAAAGCTCAGTTTAAAAAAACAAACAAACCCAAAACAGTTTCAGGTGTTCGGCCCAGTTTTACAACATTTGTCTGTATTTCCATGTGTGCAGGGAACGCTGAGCAGATCTGAGTGGGAAGCTACCAGTAAGTCTGATCATCTCCATCAGCTGTTTACATGACACATTTAAACTGATGCTTGTAAAAACATTTCAGTATTGTTGTCTTCGATCTACTTTTAAAATATGTATTCATATCTGGGCCCATTGATCTACAAACTGTTGATCACTAAAACCCTCATCTGTCTTTGCTCTGCAGGTATCTACCTGGTGTTTGTGTTCCAGAAGATGTCCTGATGCTGCGCTCATCTGCTGCTGTTTGTCTCACTGTTCTTCAGCTCATATTTGTGTTTCTGTTGCTTTAAGTCATTTTTGATAAGAAATGATTGTTTTGTTTGTAAATTAAACAAAACTTCTGTCAAACTTTTTTGTGTTTTGTTCTTCTGAATTATGGAAAAAAGCGTGTATTTCCCTGGATTACAGGATAGTTACAATAAACAGAGAATTTACAGCCATTTAATGCAAACAGAATATTATACTGTAGCTCTCCTTATGTTGATGGGTAAATTGGTTATTTTTGATTTGTTAATCTTTTAGTTTGGCTTAAAATTAAATTTTTTTTTCATTGTCTGATGTAACTCTGAAATTTGTTCTGTTGCATTTCCAAAGTGCAAAATGTAACTGGCAGATTAAACCCCGTTTCCTTCCCCTTTGTGATGCCTCTGGTATTCATTGAACCTCTGTTAAGTTTATGACAGGCGCAGATTTGAGAATTGTGGATAAAACAAACTGTTAAGGATCAGTTTATTCTCACCTAAAAACCTGGACCTGAACCTATAACATATGAACGAAAGTACTGGGCCATTTACAGCTACACTTATTCATAAAGCACTTTATAACAGCCACAGCGACACAGTACTGCACACTGAAGCTGAATAATAAAAATGCATAACATACAAATGATAGCCAGTGAAAAAGGTAAAATAACTAAGAGAAAAACGGAGTCTTGCTGGGGTAGAAAGCCGAAGAATAAAAGTGGATTGTAAGACATGTTATAAAATTTGGCAGTGAAGGGGTTTCTCTAATGTACAAGGGCAAGTTATTCCATAATTTAGGAGCAACAACAGAGAACTCCCTGCTCTCTCTGAGCTTCTTCCTGGATCTCAATACTTCCAGAAGCAGCTGGTCAGCTGACCTCTGCTCTCGTTTGCAAGTTCCTTCTAAGAGTTGTGCAGCAGCATTTTGAATCAGCTGCAGATGTGAGAGTAGTGACGGACTGACTCCCACATAAAATGAATTATAATAATCCAAATGCAATGAAATAACTTCAGTAATAATAGGTTTAAAATATACTTCGGAGATGCAGTTTTTGTGCAGTTGTTAATAAAAGAGATTTGGAGTGTTTGTGACTTTACACACTTGAGCCTCAGCATGCAGTGACCCACTTACGTGGTCTGAGACATCATGGCTTAGCTGCTGTGTCCTAAATGGTTCCACTTTGCAATAACAGCACTTACAGCTGTTCCCAGAACATTTAGGACGGACGAAACTGAACCGACTTGTTGCAACAGCAGCATCTTGTTATAGTGCTACACTTAGATTCAGTTAGCTCTTTGGAACAAGCTATTCTTTCACAAATGTCTGTAAAGGCAGACTGGAGGTGTTGGACTTTATGCACCTGTGATAATGGGACCGAGGCTGTGTTAATGTTTGAACACTTCTCTGCATATATGTGTATCCTGTATACGGTTATCCAGCAGTTATTTATGATACTTACATGGACTCTTAATCAAAGCTTGACCAGCTGTACAATGACGTCATGAGGTGTTTACGCAAAAGAAAATGAAACTATATATACTTTTTAAAAATTTGAAATGTACAGTGAAGCATAGAAAGTGCTTAGTCATAAATTATATGCTGAAAGGGACTGATTCTCCTCATTTTCACCTACATATTCTCTTGAGCAGCTTTTGATTATTCACAGATCAAAATAGTCCTAGTTTATCTCACATTGGGCATAGCTGTGTCCACTCAGTTAAAAGCAATTTTAGCACCTCTGCTTGTAAGACAGTTGGTTGCTCCTTACATACAGGTTTAAAAAACAGGTGGATCTTCTGTGTCCTCTGTACGACATCATACAGGTCCAAGAGTAGAAAGAAATGATGAAATTAGGGTTTAGAGCAGTCTGCAGCCTTATCATTTTGTGCTGGCCTCATTTTACTGCTGGAGTTGTTCCATATGGACATATTCACTCAGTAAAACTTAAAATGTAAACACTAAAGCTGATGTGACAATTTTTTGTGTATTTTTCAAACTCTGATGTAGTGACTGCAAACCTCCAGTAGGTGGTGCAGTGAACCCTTCACAGCTGTTCAGAATCAATTGTCTGATCCTTCGGAGCTCCATTGAGTTAAAGAGTTAAAGCATCTTGTTATGTGATTAATTTAATTTGAATTTACTTAGAAAATGAAAGTATTAATTTAAATATCTGATAATGATCTGTTGGCTCTGAATGCTGCTCATGAAAGACCGATGAATAGAATAGAATGAAAACATTAAAGTTCCTTTAGAAGGAGAAAAAAAATACAGTTTAAGAGGTGCCTACACAGGGAATGTTATGTAATAACA